TTTCTTGTGATGTCACTCGAACCTTCAAAACGATTTTCGGCCATCATCGACTAAAATTATTTCTTAAAACCATTTTTGATTTTTTGATTACCAAGTGTCTATCTTGAAATGCTATTTACACTCTTCTTTCATGGAAGGTGGAAGAGAGGAAAAGTCCAGCGGTTTTAATGTCGTTGCTGTTACTGTACCTACAGTTCTGCTGCTACTCCTTATACCAGCAGTTGTTGTCGCTGTGCTCTTATACCGGAGGTTTGTTTATTTTAAGACTGAATACTAATGACTGAGCGTAGAAAAAAGTATTGCAACCGAAAAGTACACATTTTATCTAATTTTTTTTTCCAGGAGAAGGCAGACAAGATCCCAAAGTGCCAGTGAAAGACCTGTCCAATTTGATGACCTTCAAAACGATTATGAAAACCTTGGCGCGAATGCATCAAGTTTGGTTTATCAGAATGTGGGAGACAGTCGTCGGTCAATTGAAGGTATGTTATAACATGGTTGATTGCCTATAGGGATTATCAAAATACTGCAAAGTTCCATATATACGATTTCTTTACCCTAAAGGTATTGAACAACAGCCTGACGGTGAAGAGGAAGAGGCTACCTACAGTGAGGCTGACGATGGTAGGCCCAAACCAATTCCTGTGGCTAATTTTGCAAAATACTTCAAGAAAAGTTCTGAAAATGGTGCTATTGTACTGCGACAGGAATATAAGGTAAGACGTTGGTTTTTCTATATGTTATTGTACGATAGAACTCTTGTAAATATTTCTCGATTTTTTTGTGTGTTGTTCCTTTTCGCAATAGGTGACTTGGTATTTGTGGTGGATTTTGTTGCAAGGGTCTCAAAAAGTGATCACATCGAATCGTTTTTGATAAAAGCACATGTTTTGCAACTTAGTATATACCTTTCTTAGAATTTACAGGGCGATGTGCTGTTTCCTTGTGAGATTAGCAAGAGTAACAGAGGCAAGAACCGTTATGGAAACATCGTTGCATGTGAGTGCATGTAAAGATTTTTTGTTGTTTCTATCCAACGGTAACCATGTAAAAAACCTTTAAGTTATATTAAATTAAAATCAGTTTCTAGTGACTAGATCTTAACTAGCGCTGCCTCTGCAGTTAGTCTCTTTTAAGGCAATAATCATTATTATCAATCAGTATAAATTCCATAGCTCTCTGAATATAAAACTGTGTCAGTATCTCCAATCATTTCAAAGTTGGTGAGGTGGGAAGTGGTAAAATGGTCAAGTTTGAGTCAGAATTTCGCACCATACAATATGTTCAAGATTTATACGTATTTCACGCCATAAAAAAAATAAATTAAAAAAAAAAAAACTTAACAAGTTCCTAAATCACCAATTGTGTTAATTAACAGATGATCATTCTCGTGTTGTTTTGGAGGAAATAGAGGGTGATAAAAATTCCAGCTACATCAATGCAAGCTACATTCCGGTCAGTAACACGAAATACATATGCATATGACGACAAAACAACGACGGAGACAGGACGACACAATACGACTCGACACAAAACGAAACGGTACGACACGACAATACAGAGCAATACAAAGGCGCGTCGACACTACTTGTTTGATGATATATATAAATGAAGAGATATACAAATAAAACTTATTTTACCGTTCGGGCATCTTGAAAAAAAATCAGCATGAATATTTTCTGTTTTCTGTCTGCAGTCTTTCATTACTCTTATGGGGTCACCTTTCATCCGTTATTGTTTAACTTCGACAGCAAATCTCATAACTTACATAATAAACGGCTGAGAAAGGCATGGAAAAGACATTATATCAATATTTTGAATACTTATAATTAATTTCAGTTAACTGTTACGGTATAATATAACCGACAGAAAAACACTACAATCCTACAAACTAAACTACCTTATTAAACAACGAGTGATGTTCTTAATAAGGGGCGACTCCTAAAGGCAGTACAATAATTATGCTCAGTGAACTTACTTAAGCCCCTTACAGTCTGTATCTTAGCTCGCCGAACTCACAGTTTCCTCTAACTTTTCTTGAAATTAGCAATCTTCCACTTTAGCTCTCTCTCACGGTATAGCTTTCTAAACAGTCGGTGTCTCCTGACAACAACAACTACTACTACTACTGCATAACTGAGTCCTTATATACATTTACACGGTGTTCCGGAACATTTCAGAAGCTTATAAAAGTACTATTTTAATAGTGTTACGTAATAACTGCGTGATTTGAAGAAATGTTTTAGAAAGTTCTATAGTACACTTGTCAGCATGAGTAAGCAGTCTGGAGAATTCAAGATGCTTATATTTACAACAACAATTACTCATAACATCAAGTTTTCTACTTTCTCTCCTTAGACCTACGACGAGGTCACCATGACTTATATCGCCACACAAGGTACAATTATCTGGAGGAGTCTCATAGAAACACCCATAATTGTCACACGTTAACACGAGTCATTGTCTAACTGCTGTAGTGAACTCTGCTGCAATATAGAGTTAGAGAACTACAAAACGTCTCGCATAATAATCACCGTTGGTTTTATCTAGGTCTCCTTCAGTATATTTAACCGTGTACCCTCTGCACATGGGACACCTCTGGAACTAACAAAAGCGTCCTTGAGTAAAAGTTCCTTCGATTAACGTAATATGTGCAAAGGTTATAGAAATTTCTCGCTTAGTTCGAACGATAGTTGCTGCATTATTAGGGGGCGAAGATTATAGCTCGTTGTTATGGGGTTCAGTCCCTTTATAGGGGTTTTCTGTGGCCTTTTTCTGGCCATTTTGGTTGTGCTAGTTTTCCTTTGTTACTCTGTTGGTAAACCCTCTCAGGAAAAAAAAGAACATTTATAAATGTATTCAAGAAAGTTCCCACTGTCCCGAAAGAAAGACTTGTCCCATTGTTGTGTCAATGTTGTTAAATAGCTCATGGCTCTGTTAAATTACCACACGCTTCAACATTCTTTAACAATATTCTGACTACTTGTAATTGGGTTATTAGGTCCAATTTCTACAACTGTCGATGATTTCTGGCGACTGGTCTGGCAGGAAAACTGTTCCACCATTGTGATGCTTACAAACCTGGTTGAGGGGGGAAAGGTAGACGTAGATCAGTTTTCAGTTTAACGTTCAATTTAACCGGAGTTTCATTTATTTTGCATTTCCTTCGCTTCATGAGTGGTCTGTAAAACTCGCACCATAATCTTAAATATCGATCACATTCAAAACCAAGATCAGAATAGCGTCATGGGCTGCTACATATAGGCTCACATGCATTTTTTGTTGTTGTTGTCTTAACTGTAGGGTAAATGCGATCAGTATTGGCCAGATCACACTTCCAAATATGGCGCTTTCACAGTTACTCTTCAAAAGACTGAAACTTTCGCCGATTACGTCATCAGGTCATTGATTGTGACGAAGGTGGGGTGTCTTAATAAAATTGCTGTTTTTATATTTAGTACTTCCTTAAAGAATATGGCCTTAAGTGCTAAACAAAAAGTCCTAATCGTTTTAAGTATATACCTTT